CCCCCAACCAGCAGCCCGGGGGGACAGGAGCAAAGCCGCAGAGCACGCCCGCAGCGGGACAGCCCAAGCGCGCACGGGCTGTCCCGCTGCGGGCGTGCTCCAAGGCTTTGCTCCCCGTCTCCCTGCAGACCAGGGAGACGGGGAGCAGCTTTTCTCGCCCCGGAGGACGGGGGCGGCGGACCGCGGCGCATCTGGGCGTCCCGCCGCTCCCGTCCTCTGGGGCGAGAAAAGCCCCGTTCATAACTGCGGATCCGCGTAACTCGGGGACTGCCTGTACTCCATTACACTATTTTTAACATCCCTAGTGTATCCCTGCGTTTTTTTTTTTTTTAAATGGAAGATGTTTAGAAGGAACTTTAGCATCAGAAGAGTCACAGGAAGCTTAGTATCTGTTCTATATGGCGTATGCACTAGGGATGTAAGAATACCAGTTAATCTGTTAAATGTTATGTTTTACCTGACCAGTTAACCATTCTCATTCCTAGTATGCTCAACAAAAAACTAAGTGATACACACTGGAGAAGATCTGACAGTTTATATACAAAGAAGCTAGTAAGGCTCTCCAGATGGCAACACTGCATGGAATTTCGCCACTTGGCCAAGTCAATAAAAATCCTGACATGAAAAAAAATAAGCTAGGAATAGGTTACAAATATCAAGGTGCAATTGCACCTTGCAGCACACTGCAAATATAATTGGTCATGTGCAAGAAGCAGTTTCATTAGTCTCAATACAAATATTTCATGTTGTTTTATAATTGAATTCAAGGAGGAGACACCTTTGGACTGCAATGATGCAAAAAAGTTCTACATTAATGAAACTGAAAAATTCTATACAATCTTGAATTTTGTGAAACGTCTGCCAAGAGAATTCACTATCACTGTAATAATTCAGTGGTCACAACTGTCCTCAGAATACTGAATAAGATCACATTTTTAGGTCATTATATTTAAAAAACCATTACACCACGTGAGCAAAAAAAGAAAGCAATGTGAAATGAATGACCGTATCATAACTAAAAAAAAGTCACTAACGGAGATGGAGAGGAAAGTAGCAAAGGGGGCAACTGCTCCAGGGCCCAGAGACTTAAAGGAGGCCACTGCTCCCAGCCACCACTACTGCTACTAAAAATAGTAGCAGGTTACCTATCAGACCTACTCCATGTATGTACTGAGTCATCTCCACTTCTTTCATTGACAAAAATACATACATCTGTACTGATTTTTGTCTGTTAAGCACTGTAAAGCCAATACGGCTACAGGAGAGAGAATGGGGCTCTTCATTCTTCTGTATCAACACAAGAACGGTCACAAATATTTCTGAGGGAAACTTTGCATTGTAAATATTATGCAAAGTCTCAATCAGAAATATTTGTGCCAATTTATTGAGACAACAGAATTGCAGAAAAGTCACAAGCAGATTTTGGCTGCAAAACCTGTAATACCAATGATAAAATAAAATAAAAAGTTTTAACTCAGAATCCAGATTTACAGTGCTTGAAGTAGAAAAAAAAACTTTATAAACTGAGCACATTTGATTTGGAAAGATAGATACAAATGTAAAATTGCACAATGGCATTGTTAAATCATATTTCAAAGTGAGCCTCACTTAAAGGTCACTTTATATGCCTATCTACACAGCTGCATCCAGTCTTATAACATCCTATGCCTTTTGTTCTCCTTTCGCCATGTAGTTAAAGTTATACTATTGCCAAAATTGTCTTCCCTGGAAGAAAAAGAATTTCCATGCATTTTTACAAAAATTCAAGCCTATTTATAGGTAGAAGAAATCAGCATCATATGGAGACTTGTTGTTTCACACTGTCTAAATTAAAGTGATCAAAGAATCAGTAAAAAATTCCAGCTTACCCTCTGGGCATTCAAAAATAACTTGTGGATGATACTACCAGCAGGTCCTCTTCCTGCACCAATGACCGATACTTCTGGCTGTTCCAAAAGAGAATTTACAAACCTAGATAGAAGTACAAAATAATGCAAAGGAGGAAAAAGTGAGCATCCAAATTTAAACTATATCAATTTCTAATTATTTTCACATGAAATCTCCAATGACAAAAAACTCCCCCATCTAGCTTGAGTGAACAAACAGTTTTAGCACCAAGAGCATTGTTAGTTCTCCTGGGCCAATACTGTGCCAGTGTGTGCATGCATAATCCATGCATTGTGCATATTTTTCTTTTTTTGCAGACAACAGTTTCTGCCAGAAAGTTGCAGAAGTTCCATTTTTTGCGTACTTGACGGTGTTGTAGTGCTAGAACAGAGCAGCTGGACCTGGCCAGGTAAGGAAGGGAAAGGAAAGAGTTGGTAGTGCCTTGTTCGTGCTTGTTAGGCCAGATCAAGAGACGGGATATGAGGAGACAGATAGCATGGAACTGCTGGGGAGTCACAGGCAGGGCCTCATAAGAGCTAGTGGAGGAAGACCAACTGGGGCAACAGCTGAATGTGAGTTGAGGCCCAGAGGTAAAGGATACGCAGGGCCACATAGGGATGAGTGGAAAGGGTGTGTGAGTGAGGACAGAGGATCATGTGGACAGGATATGCACATAGGGTTAGGGGCAGATATGTCTGACTGAACTGGAGAGGCTAGAGAGCAGCCAGGGCCTGCATGGAGGAAGCTCCTTAACAATCCCTCCCCATCGCCCCTCACCCTCCAAAAAAATCTGTTTCATGCCTTTTCCCACCTACACCTAAGAATCCTTCAAGATAACTCCCAGGCTCCTTCCAAGCAACTACTTCCCTCTCCCTCAGTTACCCCTAACTCCCCCAAGCCTTTGCATTGCTTCTAAGGGGTGTGGAAAATACACTTCTGTACTGCGGTGTAAATGGTTTGTTACTCAGAGTTCTGTATTAATAAGCCTTGTAAGAAATCTGTCAAAAAAAAAAAATCCAGATTTTTTGTTGTCTGTATTGTTATAGACATACCTGCTGACAGGTTGTTTTTTTTTAAATAAGTCACCAAAATAATTGAAACTGGTACGATTATACGGGCAGTCCCCGAGTTACACGGATCCAACTTATGTCGGATCCGCAGTTACGAACGGGGTTTGCTGCCCGTCTCCCTGATCTGCTGGAGACCAGCAGACCAGAGAGACGGGAAGCAAAGCCTCTGAGGACGCCGGCAACGGGACAGCCGCGGCGCGTCTGGGCTGTCCGCTGCCCGCGTGCTCCGCGGCTTTGCTCCACGTCTCCCCAGACCAGGGAGACAGGGAGCAAAGCCGGGGAGCACGCCGGCAGCGGGACAGCCGCGGCGGGTCTGGGCTGTCCGCTGCCTGCGTACTCCCCGGCTTTGCTGCCCGTCCCCCCCGCCCGCTT